TTCACTGATTAATAAACAGTTACGCGGATCCTGCTGCCCGTTAATTGTCAAGTCGGACGTCAAGGCGCCGTTCCGTGTGCATCACGCGGTAAATGTTTCAAATCCAATCTGCTGACACATGTGACGCGTTCCCGAGTCGGAAACTAGACTCTGAAAATTATCTTAAATGACTCGGTGTTTCCTGCCAGATTATCCTGATTATATATATATATATATATATATCGATGCTCAATGAGATCCATATTACGAGAGATTGCCAACGATAGTTTTCACAGTCTTTCCGCGGTAATTTCGAGGTCGTCGCGAAGTAGTAAGGAGAAAAAGAGCAGGATCACCGAGAGGGTCGAACGCGATAGATCGGATCCATTTTGCAGGGTACCATTCAGATTTCCCGAGGGAATCTCTCGCGGCGAAGGGATGAAAGGGAAGGAGATACGGCCGTGACGCGCGCTCGGAGGGTGAAGAAGACGGGGCTTCGGCTATTAGCGATCACAAATAGGCTATTACGGACCCATTAATAGAGCGCGGCCACGAGACGTACGCCGGCCGACACGGGACTCGCGGGTACCAGACATCCATCAAGCCCGACCATGTCTCCTTCCACCCCCTCCTTCCCCACCTCTTCTATATCTATCTATCTCTCTCTCTCTCTTTCTTCCTCGGTCTCCCTCGTCTACGTCACGTCTCGCTTCAGCTATGAGCGACAGTGTAGGGTTTCCGGGAGCCCCAGGGACCGGTAATCCGAGATTCACTTTGTGCATAAGGACCCGTGTGCACGTAGAACACGCGGCCGTTTCATGATGTACGCGTTGCGTCATTGACGCGCGCTCGCCACGCACTACATTCGGATCGAATCCGCAATGGGCCGGTGTCGATGCGACTTGAAACATACCGCTGCCGCGTCGATTTTAGTGCACTGCACTGGGTCGTGAATCCCTCGGTATCGCTACCTTCCGCATTGTGATGAAGATTACACATCAGATTACCAATCACAGTTTGGACTTTCTCTAAACTAAATGTCGCGGATTTATCCGAATCTTATATGCGACATATGCCAACAATTCTAACAAATATGGATATGGATTAACACCCATTTATGTTTATATGATTCTCGCCATGTTAGTATTTACATAAACACCAAATGTATTTATAAATTACATACATTCTAAAAATGGGTGTGGATTTAACATTATTTGGTGTTTATATAATTCTCATCAAATCTATCATTATTCACACCCATATTTTTTAGAGTGCAGTATTTTCTAAATATATATGTGTTTAAAGTATATGGATTATCTATCATGAAATTATTCGAAGACGTAAAGAGAGACATATCATATTATATACCTTCACGTTTAAATTCTGATATCAAACAATATTGTTTATTCAAATATTTCAATAATCTCATAATAAATAAATCTATACAGACGATAATAATGGGACGCCAGATAAAATGCGTTATGAAGTAAAAAATACTTGATTTGTAAATCTCAAAAGAGCGGCAGGAAAGAGGTCTTCGAAACGAGCAACGAATACGATCGTTGCTCGTAAATAAGTATAAGCTTGGCTAATCGAATAGGCAGAGCAACTGGAGCCACGTGCCGACCGACGCAACGCCGGTGGCAAATACCACTGCGTTGTTAGCCTACAGTTAGTCAACATCGGCGCCTCGGATGTTAAGCCGACCCGATGTAACAGTGACTAACCCACCCCTGCCATCCCCCTTTTCCTGTCGATCGTGCACACGGATCACCCGTCCGGTGGAACATCACCGATTGTTTCCCGTCTAAAGATAACAGACTGCAAACTGAAATAACTTACTTGTTTACGATAAAATTAAAATAGAATAACATATATAAAAGTACCTAAATATTTTCCCTTATATTTCAATTTTCATTTGTAATATAAATTAATTAACATTTATGTAATGAAAATCACGCAACAAAGTTGCCACTGTTGTTTTTGATCCAAATCTTTCAATTTGCATCTATTAATTAATATATGGAATGTTATGTGATAATATTCTTTATTTTTTAAATATATTAATTAATGAAAATTTTTTTATATACAATACCACAAATACTCATATACATGTCCGTTAAGTTACTGTAACCTGATACGTATATAATCGCAATCGGAAGTGTATGTAATACTTTTCGCGGAGGCACAACACACATGCTTACATCCCTCCGGGAAATATATCTACAGCCCCGGTCAAGTCACGTCGGCCGTTTGATTTCTCATCGATTTCCAATCTCGATAACGAGATAGTTTTTCCCAGCCGCAAGCTCCAGCCCGCAACGAATAATGTCATTCATCTCCGGCTTAACATTTCCCGCTCGTTAATCTCATGTGTGCGGTAGATCGGCCGGACTTTTGACGTGCTATCGATCGCGGATCTCGGTAACCGAACGGCTGCCTCGGACGATTAGGGACTTCGGTCGCAACAAACTCTAGCAGTTGTCCACGGCTTAACAATCGGTAACGTTAAGCTAGTTTAAACGCCCGAGTAGCGCCCTTAACTTTTGACTCGCTTCTAAAAGGCTTTTGACAATCGTCGCTGACGGCAAGCTCCTCGGATAATTAAACGGCGTTCCATGAAACCGGAACTCGAAGTTTCATTATTAGGTATTAATTTGCAAACTAATTACAGCCGCATATTGATATCCTTTTTTTTATAAGATCTTCTTTCACTTAAAATTAGAACGTTAATCTATGATTATATTAATAATCCGCACGCGGAAATGACAGATGAAATTATGAAGTAATATTTTGAGTAATATTGAAGTCATTTTTTTAAATAAATCCAGATAATGTTGACATATTTAGATTATAGTAAAAGCTCCATTATTTTTGCAGAAATAAACATTTTGTAAAATGTCACGAATATATATGGAGAAAGCGAATATTGAAAAAAAGAATAAACAGAAAGATTAAGATTTTGTAAAAAAATTATATAACTACACAAATGTGTATGTACACATTATAAGTAAATATACACTACTAATATGTGTATATTTTTTCCTTTATAAAAGTACAATTAAAGAGACTATAGAAAAAATTCTTTTATTTATCATCGCGATTAAAGGCTTATATCAGAGGATTATATCAGAGCTCGACACGTGACCCACTCATTATCGACAATTAATGAACCGATCTTCTCGGTCTGATAACTGCACCTCAACGCAAACCATCTCCCTGTCGCTCTTTTCATTCCCCTATGTCCAATGCTTCCGTAGATATACATCCACGTCTTTACGGTCGCGTAACGGCGGGCTCTTTCCTATCTCTGGTGCCAGGAGCCCTCGGTGGTGTGCGTAGGGATCGCTCATAGGGAGCTGAAGAGCGATCGTGGCTGGCGAGTTCCGCCAGCAGAGAGAAGGCAGAGGAGCCGGACGAGAGGGTGTAGCGGCGAGGGTAGTTGCTGGTCGCGAGGGGCAGCAATCGCGGGCGGTGCAGGATCGGGGGAATGGCGGGTGGCTCGTGGAGGAACGAGCGGGAAGCGGCGGGAGGTGGAGAAGAGTGGAAGCGGGGGTTGTAAGCCGCTTACGCCCGCCGAGCGGAGAGCGACTCCTCGCTAATTATTTATAGGACCCTCTCTCGGCTCTCTCTTCTTGCACGAGAGATCCTTCGTGGAGACGAGCTCGCTTCTGCTTCCCTTTTTGCCCCCTCTCACCCGCTCACCCCCCTCTTCTCTTTCTCTCTCCATCGTCTGCTACCAACCTCGTTCAACGTCCTCTTTCCGTTCCTCTTTTTACTCTTACGTCCGCGGTCTCCTGTCCCCCCCCCCCGTCCGACCGGTCGGCTATATACTTTTATTCTGTGTGCAGAACTTATAACTGCACGGTACTCTTTTACCCTGGCAGTGAGTGCTCCCTAAAATGGGAAAGGTTTTGGAGTCGTAAGAGCGAAGAGTATGGAACCTCAGGTATAAGTTGATATAGAGACGGGACGAAGTGCATGGCTTAACTCAAAATGCGGTTCTAAGAACGATAAGGATGCAATTTGGAATTTGCAAAGTGATATTCGATATCGACGACGCTAACGTGTCAGTGAAATTATACGTTTATTTAATGAGATTAGTAGTAAACTTTGCGATAAATAGACGACTTATGTTTTTTATCATATCTATATTATATATTATATACAAATATAATATTATAGAATAATCATAATGTATGACGTGATGAAAAACACGTATGTGGAGATTTGTGTTAACATTTAATGTTTCTCTCATATGGCGACCGAAAAGCGTAGTTGACAAGATTAAACGTAGTGAATTATAATGATGTTATATTTAACATACCATTTGATATCAATTAAAGTTCTAATTGTAAGTACAATGTATATCTAAATGTTGAACAGCCTTCAGATTTAGCGTTGTGCTAATAAAGCTAACTTGTGCTACAATACTTTACGTTACTCGTTAATGCGCAACTAAAACATTATAGTGCGAATATCACAGAGTTACAAATAAGCTCGATATGATTATTCCATTAAATCATGAGCTCGCATATAGGAAAAATCACATAAAACAACCGACAACCAGTAATAATAACGTTTAGCAGTTCTATCGAATAATCACGATATGCAATGCAATTGTCCACCGTTAATCAAGAGCCCGTGATTTCGACGCCCCGTGATTGCACGCATATTACGCACGGTTAATCGGCCGCGTCGGCGAAAATTGCTGCTCGCTTTCCGCCGTTCGCATGATTACCGTCAATGAACTTTCACGCTTTTCATCTATCCACTCCCAGGAGCGAGTTACACGATTAACCTTCCGACCCAGCGCATCCGATGATGACGCGCGTAACGCGTTGTTGCGGATGTACGGGAGGCGGAGGGGGGAGGGGGGGAGGTAAAGGAATTTTTCTTCGCGTGCGTGCAGCCCCGGCGACGGCGGAAGCCAACAGTCCATTTTTTAGGATTACCTGCTTTTCCCGCAGACAACGGAAGGATCGAGGGGGCGAGTGAAAACGAGTCGGGAGAGACCGACAGGGCGAGAGAGGGACACGGGGGGACAGAGAGGATAGATGCGCTGATCGCTTGCAGGGCGAGTCGAATGTTTGGACAGAGGGAGCTCAACAATGCGTTCACGTTCCCCTTGACTTCCTGGCGGAGCGTCTGATCTTCCTGGCCGCCGGTTAAGATCGAAATTGGGTCGAATGTGGGAGGCTGGCAAAAAATCGCTCTCGAGAGCGATTTTTCTCGATCGAGTGCGCGATCGGTTTTTCGCCATTTGTACAGGTGCCTCGTATATCCTCCGCCGTCGGAACCGTAAACGAAGGCATGCTCGACGAAGCAAGTTGTGATCCTACCGAGAGGCCCCGAAGCCTCGCGAGGCCGCTAATCCGCCGGGATGAGACCTGTCGATAATATTGTGCTGATTAAATGAGGCGGCGTGTGCGTCTATATCTCGAAGAATCGAATGTATTTTTTTGCGCGCGACGGCTCTGAAGCGGCGAACGTACCGCTTCCGAGTGCGCGCTCTTCCTCGGCGAAGCCCCGTCGATTATCGAGCGATTCAATACGAACGAACGGAGGTCCTTTCAAGCGCGGCGATGTTGAATTTTTAATAACTCCCTACTTCCCGTTTGCGCGCTACGTGAGTAACTATTTTATCCTTTGATCCACTCCAGACCTTAGAAATTCACCGTTAGTGCGGGAAATTATTAATATCGCCGGAATTATTTTAGTGCGCAATCATGTTGCGGTAAAATATTAAAATTTTTATATTAAAATTTTCAATTAATTTATCAATTTAAAAATTAACTCGGTGCACCTTATCGGTGCACTTAACACCGGCTATCGTTATTTCGTGCAGATTATATCGCCAATATCACATCGTCAGCGTTTTAATTAGTTAATGACGACATAAATTTATAATCAAATTTGCTGCAAAAATTGCTGCTCGGGGGGTCGATCGTGCGGAAACGCGGGGGAATGCGAGGGACAAAGAGGAAAACGAGAAAGATCAAAGGGTATGACGTGGAGGTAAGGATGTGTTCTCACCGGCGCGGCGTCTCGATGTGCACTGACTAGCGACTTTTTCAATTGAATTTGCGGCACGGCGCGATTCCGATTCCTTCCTGATTCGATTTTCTCGAGTTTAAAACGGCCGCTTATAGAGTATTAAGCGATCCTCAAAGTGGGAACGGGAAATCTAGTTACGGCTGCACGAGCTGGCCTCTTTGATCCTGCCGATTTGCTTCCCCCCTCGGCCACCCCTCGAGTCCGCGCTCATTCTTTGCGCTCCTCCAATCCCCTCCCCTCCCCGCGTCTCGACGCGGCCCCTTCCTCTCTATCTCTCTCTCTCGTTAGGGATATTGCCAATCGAGAAAGAATTCCCTTCTGGATTTTACGGACCTCCGAGATTGCGTGAAAATTTCATTCGCTCTTTATCCTCTTCGTCCCGCGTTTCCGTGAATCGCACTTTGTCCTCTCTTTCCTCTTCTCTCTGTCTCCCTCTTCCTTTTTTTCCCCATCTCTTCTGGCATAAATTAATCTTCCGTATGGCGTCTGCCGTTAATTTTCCACACGGAAATATATAAGTCGCAGAATAATCGCGCCGCCGCGCGCCACGGTGCGATTTAATTATTTAACCGCCGGCCGAATTATCAAACCGGCGCGGCGCGCTGTGCGGGGTTTCATTAATTTATACTGTTTGCCCGTGGAAATTGTTCGCGCGATTGAGCGAAATATTAGGAATCTACGGCGAATAGAGTTCAGCGACAATTCAGCGCGCATATAGAGGCTTTTCATAAATACATACATAATTTATGACTCACTCGCGCACGTCGCAAGCGAACGCACGGAGGAAGAACGCAGGTGAAAAATGTCATGTATGTAAACATAGTCGGATACCGACCTATCCTCTGCGAAACTCATTTTCACCTGTGACCCACCAACGGGAGGAAAAACATAAAATATAGGTTAAACGAATGTCGAAAATATATCGCCGATAAATCGCGTTTTATAATCAATCCTCTTACGATACATACTTTAAATATATGAAACCATTAACGTTAATTTATATAGAGATATGAATATTAAATAAGTAGGAAATTCTTCAACTTTCTTTTTATGTTTAGATGTTTTAGATGCAATAATTTATGACTCAATCATTTATAGGCGAAGGCAATTTGATTCAAAGATTTTCATTTTGCTTCTTTGGTAAACATATCGTTTATTTAAGAAAAAATTTATTATCTTTATTAATTAAATATAAAATGTCAACGTATTTCATAATGATCTATAAGTTTGTTGGACTTTTGTTAGCGATTGCCGCGTCGAAAGAACGGTTTTCTTTGCAAGATTATCGGGGTCGCTTTCCGGTAACCCTATAGATCCGATTGATTTGTGGAATAGTCCAAATTATCCGTCAATGGTGAACAAGCCGCCTCTATTGATCTTCTCATCGAAAGACAGGTCACCAGAGCTGTCCATACCGAGACAAAGTTTCGGGTAGGTGGGAAGGAAAGGAGAGGATAATACAAGTATTAAGCTGGCATAGACAGGGAGGCCGCTACAGGAAAAGGGGTAAGAGAACCGTTTGCGAGGATATAGGTAGGTAAGTCGGGGCTTAGCCCGGTGACACAGTAAGCGGAACCGTGGCATGAAGCTTACCGGCGACTCTCCCGTAGTTGTTATAATGGGATCCGGCTAAATGCAAGCCGATTTTAACTCTTCGCCGCGACACTCGGCCAAGTTCAAGGCCATTGTCTTCGCCGCAAGAATGAAATGTCGTCGGCCAGCGGCCCTTGCGACGCAGCGAGAACCGACGACACCCCCGCCGCAAAACGTTCTCTTCTTTTCTTCTATAGAGGCCCTTTGTTTCTTAGAAACGCCGCATTTTTCTTTAGGAATACCAGTGCCGATCTGACCTGAGATTCGACATGAAACCTTTTAACGTGCCAACATCCGAAATTTCCATAATATTCATCGACTTGTTTGTCTTTTGTCTTCCTTCTCTCGTGCTTAAATATATTTCCGAAACTTTTAGGCGAGCGTCATTAGAACAGCTAATTTAATTGTCTCTCTCTCTCTCTCTCTCTCATTTTTGAAAATTAATAAAAGTTTCTATACGCAATTATTTCTGAAGTCATTGTTCGCTATGTTATGATGTAAGATAGGATCCAGCTATCATCAAGTCTTAAAACGAATGTGGAGTGACGCAAATCCAGTGCGGAGATTGAATCGATTATACTCTCGAGTGTCTTTCACGAGATGGATATCCTCTTTAAAGAGAAAGTCGCGGAGGATTTGCGTCTCGATTATGCGAAAGGGTCATCAAAGCGCGCACACGGGCAACGAGCGATTCGTTATAGCTCGTTAATTTGATGAGTTAGAAAGGATGCCGGATTATGTCGTCAAAAGGTAGACAGGTACGCGATCTGTCCAATTAGCCGGGCATATAGGGGCGGCTCTCGTTCTCCTTCATGCTCGCATGGGGTCCTTTGTGTTGTGATGTTTAGGCCATTTAGAAATATACGCTACTGGGCGGACACACCCCTCCGTCGTTGTTTGCTACGTGCACGTATCTACCGCAGAATCCGTAACACCTGTGATTTCCTAATGGACCACGTACGAGAGAAGAGTTTAGCAATCAAGATTATGATCGATGTGTCTCTCTCCTTACTTGCAACATTACGCTCATGTGCGTTACTGAATAGTTCGTTATCTCTCTGTCAGCTAATTAGTGATACTTGCGTTTTTTATGCGTAGGTATATGTAAATAATTAAATTAAGCGCGTGACAGCTATATATTTTAGATTTAGAGATGTCACATAACTGCGTTGCAGATCTTTTAATTTCAGAAATTAAGTGGACGGGAATTTTTTTTTAATTGCCCTTATCTGTACCGCGATGCATCCGCGTATTTCGTATGGCAGAAAAATTAGACGCTAGGGAGTGCGAACGATGCAGCATGCGACGTTGCTGCGTTTGCGATTACCTTGCGCAACCGCGAGTTTGTAATTAATATAGGCTTAATGGTTCAAGATCGATATATACGCGACCGCTCAAATAACGAAGTGCGGTCGCTTTGACGTTAATTAATTTCAAGTGCATTAGCAGAATTGCAGCCCGCGGCGGTAGGGTCTTGCGAACATCAGTGTGATTAATAAGAACCGCGCTCGCGATCTATAAAGCTGCCAGGCCAAAATGGAAAGAGGGATTGCGTATTGCGTGCTGTGGGAACTCTGTCACAGATATATACAATTCAAAAACGTAATCCGCACGTCAGGCCGCGTATTGCCGAGGAGCGATAGAATTTCGATTTAAAAACAATCGGGCAGTGCTCTCGATATAGGTAATCCGTCGGAAGTATTAGGGAGATCGAAGAGCGGGGAAAAGTAATTGACACCACTTATTAATAATATGCGATATTTTTTTTTCTGATGTAGGAAGATCCCTTCGCACATGATAGAAGAATCATGTATCTTACAAGAGATATACGTTTTATGTACATTTGCATTCGTATTATTACAAAGTAGCTTAGATCTACGCGTGTCCATAATATCCATTACGATTTTATCGCTTTCCTATCATTAATCTTAATGATATATTTTTTTATTCTTTAATTATACATCGTCTAACGTAATGTTACAGGATAATATACATTAGATAGTATACACGAAATATACACTCACGATTAAGTAGGCATTCTCGCATATACTTCTGTCTCTTATCTGAAAACACATTATGATAATTAAGTTATCGCGCGAAAAAGTGCAATGCGAAACTTTTACAAAGTTGAAGTCCCTGAAACAGACGAAGAGTACCATAGAAAGAAACGACTATATAACAAGATTCTGTGGGACGAAACAATTCTCACTTTATCATTCTCTCTCTCTCTCTCTCTCTCTCTCTCTCTCGCCTCTTTCCTTCTCTTTCTAATATATAGAGACATCATCGATATCTCGTGATAATAGAACTCTGAATTGTGTTTTTACTTTTCCTCTCTGTCGTATTCACGCGCATATATTTATTATTTACTATTTACAAAAGTTTCTTGGCTACTATGGCCGTATTTGATATGGATAATTATCTATGTTAATCGTAATAATAAGGATAATACCAATGATAAAGACGGCAGTGATGAGTACTCGTCTTTTAATCTTAAAAATGCAAAGGATATTATAGATTGGAGTGCAGTCCAGGATTTGTAGTCTTGAAATTAAAATATGCCGATGTTCATGTTTATTGCTTCTCTCGTTTCTACTTCTCACTTCATAGCTATTTTCTCGAAGCGCGCGACGCTCGATCTTAGAGACAAGACTAGTCTGAGATTGTTAAAAGTTTTTGACATGTACTGTTCACTGTTTAAAAGTATATTACTAATATTAGAAAATATGATTATTAATGTATATAATTATAAAAAAAATATAGTATATATAATAATACATATAAATATATATGCATACTTATAATGTTATATATATAAATATATAATTATTTTATATAATATGTGTAATAATAAATATTATATAATGATTTATACATATAATTGTACATGTATGCATATATAATTGAGATATCTTTATATATAAATATACATTATTATTATTATTATTATATAACAAAATGTAATATATAATTAATAGTATCTAATTTTACGAATGATTATCCACATTCGCTTCCGTAAAATACTCTTGCACATGCGTTTTATTAAAGTATGACACATTTAAAAATTTTTAACGATTTCAAATTAGTCTCATCCCTGAAACTGAGCATCACGCGTTATGAGAAAATTGCTATGAGGTAAGAAATAGAAATAAGCAATAAGCATCGACACATTTCAATTTTAAACTATAAATCCTACACTGGTGTTAAATCTTAAAACAAATTCCGACGTGAGACGCGTACAAGCTTTTTATGGGAAATTTGATGACAATTTCCATGAATACAGCCTTTTACTTTTATTTACAAGAACAAGCTTGCTTTACTGTTCTTTTTTCTCTCTCTCGAAAATAAAATTCGACTTTCTCATGGACTGACATCGATCGTTTATTCAGTTGCACGTTCGTAATTCACATTTATTGCTAAATCTGCTTATCATTCAAATATAAATATAAAATATTTGTAGTCAAAGTATGTGTTATTTAAGTAAAATTAAAATTCAGACGCTCTAGAGTTCAGCGTAAATACGATTGTGGATTCTATTTTCGACGGAATTATGGCGAAAATGTGAAAAAGAGCAATAATTTTCGCCATTTGAAGATATGCGATTTGGTAAAAATTGCCTTCCAATAATTGCGAATTAACATTTTGTGAATTATCCGTATTTAATATTTAAGACCGATTCCTAGGATTAATAATAAATTTTGTTTTATGGTAATATTAATTCAGAAAAATAAATTTTTATGACGTAATTTTTGTTCAATGAAATCAATGAAATAATACATTAAAGATACTTATATCGACTGATTGTTACACAATGCTTTTAATATCTCAAAAATATATATTGTCCGATGCTGATTTCATTCAAAGGATGAAAAACGCGAGATAAAAATAATTTTAGCTGCCTCATAATGGAAAATTTCAGAAAGAAGAGAAGTAGAAAAATGAATATTGTTGCTGGGCTAAATGATTGAACATTTGCATGTCCAACATCGATAATTAATATCTATGTTCTGTAGTATAAACATTACATCAAAGAAAATCAAAAAACATACTCGATATATCAACGTCAGTATGAATATGAAATATTTCCTGGGATAAAATTAAAATCGTGATTAAAGAGAAAATTTTGTATTTTCTCTATTCCAAAACGAATTTATGTAATAATCTGTGAGTGAATTCATTAATAAAAATGTTTTTTATTAACGAATTCGTGAAATGATAGAGGTAAAAGTTAAAGAGTTGAATAATGTTTAACTTTCTATAAAGTTACTCTTTCCACGTGCGTAATGATATTGCAAAATGAAATTACATATTCGGAATTAAATACAAACTATCTTGTGAATTATTGATTTCTCTATAATTTCACCAGCTTTTACATGTGGAACGACATATGGGAAATCGCACTACTAGAAAAATACAATCGTAGAAATCAATTTATATAAAAAGAACATTCCACTTAAGAAATGTACAATTGTGCTTTGCCATAAAATAGATATTGCTCGCTCAAATTGCGTGATTCATTCTGTATATTTTTATATAACCTTGGTCATAAGTATAAAGCATTTTCAATTTATTAAACTTTTAGAAAAGGCAGCAATAAGAGTCAAAGGAAAATTAACAAAATAAAATTGTCATAAAAATAAATTATTTTTCCATTAAGCTTTTTAAATTTATTTTTCGTTGGATATAAAACGTTTACGCCAATTTGTGTTCTTTATACTTATGACCAAGGCTATATTGTCTTTATTTGCACATGCACGCGCGTTGTCCGAGATGATGTTTTAAAATAATTGTATAGTGATATCGATTTTCAAATTAGATCGCCGTTTACGGATATTGTTTTGTTTTTTTTTACTTAGATTTTTTTTTAACTTAGATACGCGATTGTTACAATATTGGCTAATATCTGTCGTCATAATCCGGATGTAGAACGTTCGTGACTGATTCGCGCGGTGATTCGAATTATCATACCCATGAAGTCTAGAGGGAGTCTGTTGGAGCACATTTAGCATTGCTTCGGCAAAACCCCTTTTTTATACGATCAATTGTCATCGGAGTCCAGATTACCGTTGATCTCGTGACAAATCGCCGTGTTCAGTCGCCAGTGATAGGGCATCGAGGTGCCGGCCGTGCTCGCGGTCTCCTGGCCCCGTTGAAAGATCCCGGAGGACCTGCCGGACCGCTATACTAACGGCGGGTACTTCTGTTCGGGCAGCACGTAACCGGTGGCTTCGTCGCCGGACGCGGCGGCGGCGGCAGCGACGGCAGCGGCGGCCGCTATATCGTTGCTAGTGGCTTGCGTCTGACTAGTCACTGGATTCAGGTGATGACTAGTCAGATGTGACATGGACGGGGTCAGCGTCATATTAGGATGATATTGCGGATGATGGTAGTTAGCCTGCGGGCTGTGGTGCATGTGGGGGATCTGAGCTTGATAATAGTCGCCACCGTACACGCCCGGGGTCTGGGCGTAAGCGTTGTAACCTTGGCCGGCGTACTGGCTGTGGTTCACAGAGGCGGACCCCGCCGAGCTCCAGCCGAAGCTGTAAGTCTCGCTGTGATGAATTTGATTCATCGCGCTCGGATAGGACGACGGCTGCAGTTGGTTGGAGCTCGGTGTCAGCGGCGGCGACGGGGTCGTCAGATTGCTGTTGGCCCCGCTGCCGCCAGTTGGTGTCGTTCCAACTCGAGGATACGTCGACTGGGTCGACAGGAGTGGGGTCGACAAAGGTGAGTTCCCTGCTACCGGTGCCTCCCTACCTTGCGCCGGTGAATCTGGCGAGGATCGCCTGCTCGGCGTCGTCGACGAGCTCGTCGATATCCTACTGCCGGTGCTGCTGTTGCTGTGATTCTGATTCGATCTGGGCGAGCCCTTCGACGGAGGGGTCTGCTGTTGCTGCTGCTGCTGCTGCTGTTGCTGCTGCTGATGTTGTTGCAATTGCTGTCTGCACTTGGCTCGGCGATTCTTGAACCAAACCTGGAACAGAGGAACGGCGGAGATTGCCGTGAAATTGTGAAGAAATCTATAAACAGTTGTACTGATTTTAAGACGATATCTTTGATAGTATATTATTTCACGGAAATTAAAGATAACGTGGTCTAGAAATCAATTAAGCTCTTCGATAGATATCGTACGATATCAGCATACCTTTCAACAAGATACAAAAGTCTCCGATGGAAGCCGTAGCCCCAGGGATCGTCAGGGAGGAAAGATGTCCCACTGTCCCGCTACGAGAGACGAGACCGACCGAATGGGGAGTTAATCGGTGCAATGGGAAAGTAATCGCGGGCGAGCGGGCGTAACATTTCATTAAATCGCAACAATAACAAGGACCTGAAGGGAGGAGCCGTGTACGGGGAAGCGCGCGTGTACGGGCGCGACGTCCCGACACGCGTGTATTGGAGCATCCCCTGGGATGCCTCGGTGGCTATACGGCGTTCGTCGGCACGCATGCGCGAATCAGAGCTCGTCGTAGGGTTGTTTTCACCCCTGAGATCGAATAGTTGGTTTTGCCTGTGTGTGCGCGAGTAGTGCGCGTGTATCTCATGCATGAATACGCGCCAGGGTGACGCACACACGTTAGGCTATTCCTCCATGCATTGCGACTACGCGTTACGACTACAAACGCAGGGCACGCATATATGTACGTATGAATATCCGAAAGATGCGCACACCTACGTAGGTTTTTCTCCCCGGAAAAGGGACAAGGGGGCAGAGAGGGGAGGGAGACAAAAAGCAACCCCTCGTAGGCCGCAAACTCGCGAGTGCGTTGTGATCGCCCCTCCTTCCCTCCACCTCCTTCGTTCCGCCGTAATACTCCCCCTCACGCATCCCCCTATAATCCCGCCGGGGCACAATGTGGCCAGGGGTGCGATCCTATGAATCTATGCCCGCGCCTTTAAAAGCGGGACCCGTCGTCGTTGTTGTTATTATCAGCGGCATTGTAACAGTTGTTACAGAGAGCGCGAATCGCCGAAGCGTATGAGGGATTTCGAGCTGCACGGCCGTGCGCATTCGCCGGCCCGAGACAGAAGCCACGCGCAATCCTTTCGTCTTTTGTCTCGAAACGTGTCGAAAGAATAGATGGAAACTTTAATCGTTCATCGAGCCGTCTCATATACTGTTTATATTAGAAAAACATTCCGACGACATTGAATTAATGAGATCTTATTGAGATATCTGCAAGTAACAAAATATATTCAATAAATATATAATATACATATAAAAATATTCGTAAAAAACTACTTTTATATATCTTTACTGAATACGTATATAAAAGAAATTATTATAATTTCTGATGTAATCGTGACACGTAATTCTGTCTTTTTTTACCTAATGGAATTTCACATCTTTCCAATGTGCCAAAATCGGAAAGCGTGCGAGCTAATTCTGAGACTAATCGCTCGTCCCCGCAAGTTGTTCTCCCATTTGTTTGGCTTCTGCCGCGCCGTAGTGCCGCGATAGGCAGATCCTCATTTCGCAAAAGTCATCTTCCGCGTCGCGCAATAGGGTGCTGAAATCTGTTAGGCGCGACGTACGCGGATATTGCGTATCAAGCGGGCGAAACGAGCCCCCGGTGAGGGCGAGAAAGACGGATTTATGTCGAGGTTGGCGCGGCAGACAGAGAACGATCCCATTATAGCGGCATGTTTGCACAACGACACCCCCTTCAGAAGCGACGAGCGAGAAGGAGAGGGAGAGAGCGAGAGAGAGAAAGGGAAAGAGACAGCTACCCCCAAAAATCAACCAAACAGGCCGCGATGGCATCCGGGGACCCCCGGGGGCAACCACCGACGGTTTCACGCCCGTATAACACACGAGAGACCGTCGGTCGAGGCCGAGGTGCAAATTGCGCCACCATCTGGTTTACATCCAGCGAACGGAAAACCACCCCGGTGACCAGGGGGAGGCGACGCAGCTGCGTTGACACTCTGTTATGACAAATATATTTTCTTATTTGTACTATTAATATGACCCCACTGACGATACCCATCCGGGAACGTGTCATCGTTCAGCACGCAGGATTGATGGAGAAAACAGCACGCGAGAGCCGCGGACGTTGTTTGCTAATGCGAACGTGATGAACGTTCTGTTCGCGCCGTGGCGTTAATGTTTGCTCATTTCGCAACACTGTGCATTGCGAAAATATCGATGAGCTTATAAATATCCAAATTAAAAATGAAGGAGAGAGAGGCGAAGATATTTATTTTTAAAACATATGATGAATCATTCCAATAAAATCTCAAAAAGATAATAATAAATATACATAAATTCTAAAGCGGCAATTTTATCGTCGTTAAAAAATATAATAGCAGATTTCCAACATATAAAATTTTTATTTTAAATTAATGTTCTCGGTGTATTTCACACCATATAGAGATTTCCGACTATGAAACTCCGCAAGGCAAAAAGTTTCGCGGCAGTAAATGGAGAATTTTGCAATAGTTCCGTCATCCACGCAGAACGTCGCGTGCGGCCGGATTCTCTATAGCTTCGCCGTTTTCCCCATCGACGAGACAGCATTTTCCGATTCGTCCTCGGGTCGTAAGTGACGAATGAACGGCGACGAACGCGGAACTCATTCAGCGGTGCGTTGCATCGCACATCGGTCGCGTCGCACGCAGCTGCGTGGTTCTCTCGACGAGAGAGGAGCGCGTATAGAGGCTCTCGCGAGCGAGACAGAGCCAGGGGCTATAATCCAGGAACAAATCAACGATATGCTGTACCTCGCACGCCGCGCCTACCATGTGTGTCTCTTTATTCGTGTACACACCTATGGTCTCCGCATCAGACTTCTGCTCTCCCTAGCCGTCTTCCAACCCGAACTTCCCCTGCCTTTAAAACTTTCAGATAGCATCCCTCCTCCAGATATTATTCGTCCGCACAGATACGCTACGTACATACAGCGGTTCTATACTCGACATGTATATATACGTCCCGCGTTATATATACGACAATTGCATTCCCTTCGCTGTGCGCCAGCGTGCGCGTATAGATGTGTACACACGTGTTTCGTGTGTGCGGTGTACACCCTTTTGCAGTTGCGTCGCCATTCACGACGGCTTAACTTCACGCGGAAACTTCACTTCCCGAGACTCAATTTCCGCGCTTCTGTCCTACATATTTTACGATTCCGGTTACAATACTACGATATCTGTGCGAGAGTCGTCGGTGACCCACACGGGCTCAAACGGAAATGCCGCTGGGTTACGAGCGAAATTTGTTGAGTAAGGTCACAAGAAAGCTTTAGAGGAAAGCTTTGAAAAAAAAATACATAAAAAAAGCACGGACATACACATAGCACACGAAGAAGAAAGCAATCAGAAGAATCTGATGAGTTTATTAATGCGGAAACGTAATGTAAAGCAAGTCTAAATAATTCTTTGAAACTTCCGGATTAATAACGTCATTTTTCTACTCACGTATTGCGAGACGTATTTTCTCCGAGTATTGTATGTAAATAGCAGGGGTTGGGCGCAGTTGAAGCTCTCGGGTATTCGAGACACGAGCTCGAGATCCGCGTGCGATCGTGACTTGGTAACACCCCGCCGCGAAATAAAGATGTCACGGGAACCGCAATAAAAGCGTCAACGAGCTCGTCGGCACATCTATCAATGTACGAGACGCGGGGCTGGGACAATGGCGAAATGGAACGACGTAGGGCGCGAACGTCGCGCTGTGTAAATATCTTAAATCTCGCCCGCGATTGCCGAAGCACGAAACGCACTCCCGACGTCCATCTCTTCCCCCCCCTCTCTCTCTCGCTCCCTTTTTCGCCTCTCTCCCGCTCTCGTTTTCGTCAAGCAATATCGAGATCGCAGCGTTTTATATTGTGCAATTTGACGCGCAAAGAATGTAATGACCATAAACGTTATAAGTTAATATGAACCGTACACGCGAAATCGACGATGGCAATCTCGGATTACTCGCGAGGAGGCACGATTTACTCGCTGAAAGTTCAGAGGACCTTTCCGTCTGCCTCCGTTATTATTTCTACATCGTTGACAGCGATATTTTAGTAGCTGTAAAATCTGCGGGCAGAGGAGAGCGAGAGAAGGGGAGAAAAAAGAACGAAAAAAATAATTACCTGGACTCGCGACTCTGGCAGGTTGATCTTGAGGGCAACCTCCTCTCGCATAAAGATGTCCGGATATCTCGTTTTCGAGAATAGCCCCTCCAGCACATCCAGTTGAGCTCTGGTGAAGGTCGTCCTCTCGCGACGTTGCTTGCGTTGATTCATTCCTGCAACATGAGGGAAGGACGCGCTCGTTGTTAATTGTTTCACAAATCACAGCGAGAAATTTTATTTTGTCACGTATCGATCTGTAATATATTGCGTTACGCTCTCACAAAACTACTCTACATAGCGTTCAAAAGAATGATTAAAAGATTTATCGTTATACAACGATTATCGAGTTTAGTTATTATTATTAACGACTGTCGATTTTAATCTATTTAAACCAATCGATGATTTCGTAATAGAAGCGGTTTTATGAAATACGCTTTCATGAAATATGTGGCAAATCGAAATAACGAAGATGAAACGAAAGTTATAACCGACAGAGAGAACTATAATATTGTCATCGTGAAACAAGGCTTCGATATTGAAACCTCAATACGTTCGCATGGAACGCGACGCGATCGCGTCGGCCGTCGTTGGCGATGTCTTCAAATATGGAACGCTTGCGACATTGATGTCTTGTACGAGAAGACGGGGGTTGTGTTGCCGTGCCTGGTTGCCGAACAGGATGGCAAAGGGGGTTTGATGCGGAGGGGTGTGAGCGTTGCGAGGTCGCGATAGCGTAATTTTGAACAGCTCCCCCCTACGGCCCACCCCACGCTACCTTCCTCGTGCCATCGAGCATCGCTTGGCTCGTTTCGGGACCCACGTAATCCGCTTATGAGGGGGTCACGGGGGTGCCGGTGAGGGGGGAACAGAAGGAGGGGGAGAGGAGGGAATACACCCCGGAATACACGAGCATCCAGAGAGGACCGAAGTCGCGGTTCGCTCCCAGCTGCCGCTGAAAACGACGATGCTGGCCCTCGGCGGGCCACGCCGGCGAGAGTATATACGGCGCGTCCTCGTCGCGAACCAATAAAAAGGAGCGACTGGAAAACTGCGCCTCGCTAGTGTCTCCGGGTTGGAAGCCGGATCGTAAAGTCGCAGGCGGAATGGTGGAATCCGGGGAGGTCCGGGGGATTCGCCGACCGCGAGGTATTTTTATGCGCCGAATTTTCGTGTTGTCGTGTTCTCCGCGCGCGGGAGAGCACTCGCGATGTTAATGAGAAAAAAGGAACGCGAGAAGGCAAAAGGCAGAGGTACTCGATCAAGATGCGTTCTAATCTGCACGGGGGTCTCAAATCCGCGGGATTTTTTTCTTTTCAAAGCAAAAGTTTCATCCGATTTCACAGCCGCGAATGACCGACGGTGATACAAGTTGAATAATTGAGAGAATAGGGTCATTCACGAGAGGACTGGTGAAGCCCTGCCTCGTAAAGTATAGGTATACGTCTGTAATCGTCCCGTTAAGACTTGCCAGACACGCGAGGCAGCTGTTTACGAGACGATCGATGCTTTCTCTTTCTCCTTTTCCATTCCTCTTATCCGCCATACTTGAAGGCTCTCCAACTCTCCACCGAACACAATAAAGAAAAAGAGTCACATCGTCGTGATGCAAAAAGGAGAAAGTTCGCGTCAGCAGGGAAAGATATGATGCAGAACAAAAAGCAGAACAACGATTTAAAGACACAAAGTAAAATACTGCGAAAAAGGAAGTAGCTCCCGAAGTAACCCATATAGAAACTGCAGTATAAACATATGTAGCAAACTGTGACGAACACAAAGAATAATTGTGATATGTACAAAGAATAATATTATAACAGAAAATAAATAATGACTATAATAAAACCGATTATGTCCTGTGAAAGCAAGAAATTAATCGGCTACAGAGTAATTAGAGAAATTAAATTAACTTTAATCTGCATCTACTCCATATCTAGCACACATTAAGAAAAGTTTTCTGTTTACAACATATCGTATCTGTTTTCTAAGCATTTATACGAGGTGAGCCAACGAAAAACTTAAAGCGGTAAAATAAAAACTTAGAAACTTTATTCAATTAATTTTAATTACAGGCAAAGAAAATTTCCCATTTCTTTGACCCGCTTTTTATACAATTATTATCTACAAGAAAAATTATTTTACGAGAAAAAAACATATCAGTGAACTTTACCAATCGTTAAATAAATGTATATCGGGGCAACTTAAGACTCGATCGAAAACACTTCGACGCGAGACGACAGTTTACCAATGATGGAAGCAACGACAAAAGCGAGGTAACTGTAGCCCCAAAGGAAGGAGCGGTCCAGAAGAAGGAAACAACGTCGTATCAATCGCATCTCTCGTGGGTGCTCTTCTCGGGTTCGAAGAGAGCCCGGGGATGAGGAGGATGACGACGAACGACGACGACGAAGAGGACGGTACCTGCGTGATTGGCTAACGAACTGGTCGAGTGGGCTACCAGTATGGCACCGGAGTAGATCCACGGAACAGATTGCGTCGGGCTCACAATGTACAAACTCCACGGTGGTCGGTATTACCGCCATCGCTTCGTGTGTGACGGACGCGACACACCCGCGATCGTTCGATCTATGATACGTATCTCGCCGCCTCCGGCACGCCATTGATTATGGACGCATGGAAATTGTAGAATGAAACAATCTCGCCGTCGTTCTCGAGATAACGTGGATAAAAAAAGGTGTCCGTACGTTTTGTTATACGTTGGAATTTTATCAGCATTATACAATCGTTATACAAAAATCGATAAGCGCGAAAGTGCCATTTATTTTTCCTAGTAATTTACTTAACGCTGACCCAATATTTATTTATATTCGTCTATATATTCAAGCTTTCTATATACACAGCGATTTTATGCGCGCTGAATTATTCGTTGAACAAATCCCATTTGATTGGGAATCTTTTCGTGTTCATAGCCGCTGAATCCATGTCGCCCATGGAGAATAGCTCTAAGAGGACGCTCTGATTGTCGAGTGGGCGTCGGTGCTACTGTTAACGACGGCCTTTGCCATCGAGGTCCGGTGAGGGCCCGGCACTTCTACATAGCCAAGACAATGGCTCCCCGATTATGGTTCTCCGCTAGCTTCCTTGACACGCAAGGCGCCGCCGAGCAAGTTCTTTAAAGCCGTATTTTGTGCACTTTATCCGGCGCCTGAGTATTCTAAGCACGACATTGTAAATCTAAACTGCAATTAAAAAACGAATCTACGATCTTCGCGAACAGGGAGAAATGTTTTTCATCACTCACTATGGTTTAAGATAACGTTTAAAGACGTTTAAAGACGAAATATCTACTTTCATGAAGATGCCATCTACGGTATCTTTTTTTTTTTTTTTTCAAGATGTTCTTTAGTAAAATACTGAAAATTTGGGATGCCTCACCAAAATCCCCATCACCAGGACCCACTCAAAATCACAAATATTTGTATAATTTGGATAAAATATTAAAACTACGTGTATATCTAATAAAATAGCATGAAGCAAACGATACTCCGACAGTGCTACTGTGACAATGACGAGGATAAGAAAGTAAGGTACAATGCACATTGCTAGCGTGGTCATATGATATTTTGCCATTTCAACATTAAATACTTTTCCAGAATAGCCAATTGACCTTATTTTCTTGTGATCATTAAAATCGTAATTTTTTAAACTATTATAATCTCGTTTTTTAGGAAAGTCTTAAATCACGTTTGTATGCATAGTTAATCAAACAAGCGTCTCCGGGCCTAACCTGTCAGTAAATTATACGTTAAAAGTTACATTTTCAACATTTTTTTTCTCTCTTGATTTATCGTTAATCTATCAAAATTTCGCACACGTCAAGTTTGCACACTTTAACCTCATTGTATAAAAAAATTGGACATTTCTTAAATAACTCGATTTACTAAAGAATTACCTTAAATCAAGTAATTCAAATATAATTTAGAAGCTCGTTAACAGTTATATATTACTTAATGACAAATGAGAATATATTAGGCTTCATTTCGATTGATTTAAATGCGTGAACGAAAAATCTTGACAACCGTATCGCGTACTTTGAGGAGAGACAGTCAGCTAAGCGACCCTAATGGATCGGCAAACACCCGCTGACTCCCGGAGTATGATTCGATTTATTATCGTCAGTGAGACGCGATACCGGGAGGGTTGATATAAGGGTTGCTCCGCCTCATTGGCCTGCAACGAGATCAGACGCGACCCTAATAGCAAATTCGTTTTGCGTTTATTGGATTCTTCCGCGCCCGCCACGGGTTTCGCCGTTTCGTCGAGATCTGCGTAAGTCAATGGGCCACTAACAAAATTTCACGGTGATCTCTCTTTCACGCACAATCCGATGGTGCAATCCGCCATGTACTCTCCTGCGTGTGTCCGAAATTCGGGCCACGTTGGATATAAATCTTTCACATCGTAAATGGAAATATCCGTTATATTAACCTCGCTAATTATTTACACCTATGCTTTGATATTTAACGCTTATAATGTTTAATTATGTTTAATTATTTACCTTGCAACTTGAACATTAAAGAGAAGTGTTTAAAATATATCGAGAATATCGAGAATCATACGCATAATATATTTATCTCAACTTCGCCATTTAAAGCCATATTTAAAGCTAATTAAATAAACTTCCTTCGTCTATCTAAATCACAGATCTGGGGAGCGAAGATCTGACGAAAGATCTGAGAAAAGAGAAAATTCATTAAACTATACCGTTATAGATTTAAATTAACGTCAGTGAGATGTTTAATTAACAGTGCGCGACAGAATACGCAACGACGTGAAAATAATTTACGTTTGTTGACACGGTTATTACTTATTGTCCCTCGATGCATCTAGACTTCTGCGGGAAAGCGCGCGCAGTAAATTAATACAAATAAATGCATGTCCGATTTAGATAACGTCGAAAAGCCTGTTGCTACTGAAATACGGCGTCGGGAATTTATCTCGGGTGCAACATATCACTAATAATTGCCAGAGAATTGATGGTAATTAATCGCAATTACACGTACATAGTCGATCGAATAATAAGCGCGCCGGTGTCGGTAAAGCTTCCCATCGTTTAATCTGCGGTTTTATCTGCGCCGTTCTGGTTAGAAAAAAATTTCGTTTTTACGCATTTCATGTAACTCGACACTATTTTCCCTCGGCGGTTTTGCGCGGGTTG